ATGATACGCCCACCTCCTGGAGAGTGTCCTTCACTTGTCTGGATGTTGTGAATGGGCTTTTATTTACTTTAGAGAGGATCTTGCGATCATCCACCTCTGTTGTCTTCCATGGATGTCCATGCCTTTTTATGTTGCTGAGCTCACCAGTGTGTTCTTCTTTCCTCAGAATGCACCAAACTGTTGATTTGGCCACTCCTAATGTTGCTGCTATCTCTCTGATGAATTTGTTTCATTTTTGAAGCCTTACAATGGCCTGTTTCACTTGCATGGACAGCTCCTTTTGAGCGCATGATGTAGGTTCACAGCAATAGATTCCAAATGCAAATACCACACCTAGAATCAACTCCAGACTTTTTACCTGCTTAATTGATGAAGAAATAATGGAGTAGCCCACACCTGGCCATGAAACAGCTTTTGATTCAATTGTCCAATTACTTTTGGTCCCTTGAAAAAGGGGAGATGGCTACTCTTAAGAGCTGTAATTTTTTAAACCCTTCCTCCAATTTGGATGTACATACCCTCAAATTAAACCTAAGAGTGTGCACTTTCAGCTCATATCCATTATATAACTATAGCTTGAATATGTTTTGGTAAATACTTGAAAAAAACTAAAATTGTGCCTGTGTCCAAATATATATGGACCTAACTGTATATACTTACCTGGTAAATAGACAGATAATAGAAATAATGTATACGAGCGCACCTACAAAATGAAATAAGCAGCTGTACACCAGGTAACCATAAACCCAATAAAACAATAATATAAATCAATAGATGCAGCGCTGGACAAAAGGTACTCTAGGTATATCAATAAATAGATAAAAAGAGAAAAAAATAATAGTTCATATGGTGATATCAAGGTGACTTCTGGTGCTCTCATCTATTCCTATTCTCCAGGTGACAGGATACTGTGCGATATAGTGCAGAAGGAATGCACACTCACCAGAACGCACAGTTTAATGAGCGTTTGTATATATATATATACACTGATCCCTTGAGGTCATCAGCTGATCAAGATGGAACTTGAAATCCAATGGTCTCCCTCCAAGTGATGAGGACCCTCCTTTCACCAGCAGTGGCCAGATGGCTGTAAATTAATACTCCCCGAGGGAGTCAAAGTAGAGACATCTCCATAGTGTAGTAGTTAGGTATTTATTGGTATAAACGAAGATAAACATCGATGTATGAATCAAAGTAAAAACAAGAGAAATCCTGGACTGACCATCCAATGTTAAAGATGGCCGCCGGAGCTCCACGATGCTCCGGCGGCGTGACGTCACGGCGTTCCTGGCTCCTCCTACGCGTTTCGTGCACACGCACGTCGTCTGGGGGGATTTGCCAATAACGCCGAGCCGTGTGACGCCAATATATATGCTAGGCGCATGCGCATTAAGAAGGCGCCATTTTTTAGAAGTCTGACTCTTAGGCGACCGAACGTTCGTGCGGGCGCCATTTTCCATTGGTCTGTTTTGTATACTTTATTGTGATCTGCTTTGCTGACCAGCATACGTTATCTCATAGATATACTGGGAGCCTCTAGCATTCTTAATCCGGATTTATCTCTTAAGAACTACTCAATTTGTAGTTTCATGATGCTAATAAAAGGAAAAAGAGGGGATCTTAAAGTAATATAAAAATATGGTCATATTAAATTAGCCAAATTGAAAAAGCCAATTCATTCCAAATAGAATATAGCACTAGCATATAGACTAGATATACTTATAAGGATGCATATAGAGATATATTACAGCATATAAATTACATTCAATATTATATATCTCAAGGGTTCTCAATACTTGGAATATGCTTAATATTATCCATAATTAATGTCATAAAAGTTAAAATTATAAATATTTATAAACAACTCATATAGAGTACTTATAGAGTACTACCATAGTTTTACAACCCTAACCAATGTCAATAGATAGCAATAAAAACTCAAATATGATATATTAAAATAAACGCAGAAATGTACATGAACTTAAATAAATAAATATGTAAGAGAACTAAAAAATATATATATAGAGCACCATCTAATTCTCTGTTTGGATCTCTCAAGATTTGCAATTGGAACATGTAGCCTAAAATTAACTATTGTTGATGAAACAATTCAAATCTATATCTATGTTATGACCTTTTGGATGCAAGGTCTGGAGCTCATGTATCCAGCGTGTTTCAAGTTGTGAAACTGCTCGCAATTTGTTAATCCCCCTCCAATGGGGCTGTACCACATCTACTCCAACAAATTGTAAGGAGGATGGGTCATTGTTGTGTTTCCGTTTAAAGTGATAGGACAAAGAGTGATCCTTATAACCCTTTTTGATGTTATTGACATGTTCCCTCAGTCTATCACGTAAACGTCTAGTGGTACGTCCCACATACTGGAGTTTGCATGAGCATTCGAGAAGATATACCACGTTTTTTTACTATAACATGTTATACATTTTTCTATATTATATATTCTACCCGTAGTGCATGAAGTGAAAGAGTATTGTTTATGCTTCCTTACATTCTTAACTTTGCAAATAATGCACTTATTACAGGGAAAAAATCCTTTTATATTTGGTGCAAGAGAAATTATCTCTGGGGGGTTGATGACATTTGGAGCTAATCGCTGTCTCAGAGCCATAGCCTTTTTGTATATGACTTCCGGTTTATCTGGTAAGATCTTGGAAAGGATAGGATCCGTCAACAGGACATTCCAATTTTTATTGATTATACGTTTAATTGCTTTATGTTGTGTCGAATATGTAGTTATGAAAGGACAAATCAGTGATTTCTTTTCCATTTTTTTGTTCTCTAATAATCTTTAATTTGAGCAATGTACCACTAACACAACCTGAGTTACAACTTTTGGACAAGGGGCTTAAATTCGCCCCAAAACAAAAGTTAAATAAGTTTCAAACTTATATTGACATTCATAGATTCTCACGGCAACTGTCTTTAAAACGATATTTTTATTCCAAACCCAGTATATATGACCAGAATAATACTTCTAATTACTCAACACTTAAGAATGCCTCAATTTATAACCCCCCACCCCAATCCAGATCCCATGTCAATATTTTTAGGGAACTGGTACTAAAGGATCTGGAGGAACTTAAACTGAAAAGAATTCCTAATACAGACACTACGAAAGGGATTGACCTCCTTTTAAAAAGAAAAGACCTGGTCTGCGTTTATTTTAATATATCATATTTGAGTTTTTATTGCTATCTATTGACATTGGTTAGGGTTGTAAAACTATGGTAGTACTCTATAAGTACTCCTATATGAGTTGTTTATAAATATTTATAATTTTAACTTTTATGACATTAATTATGGATAATATTAAGCATATTCCAAGTATTGAGAACCCTTGAGATATATAATATTGAATGTAATTTATATGCTGTAATATATCTCTATATGCATCCTTATAAGTATATCTAGTCTATATGCTAGTGCTATATTCTATTTGGAATGAATTGGCTTTTTCAATTTGGCTAATTTAATATGACCATATTTTATTACTTTAAGATCCCCTCTTTTTCCTTTTATTAGCATCATGAAACTACAAATTGAGTAGTTCTTAAGAGATAAATCCGGATTAAGAATGCTAGAGGCTCCCAGTATATCTATGAGATAACGTATGCTGGTCAGCAAAGCAGATCACAATAAAGTATACAAAACAGACCAATGGAAAATGGCGCCCGCACGAACGTTCGGTTCGGTCGCCTAAGAGTCAGACTTCTAAAAAATGGCGCCTTCTTAATGCGCATGCGCCTAGCATATATATTGGCGTCACACGGCTCGGCGTTATTGGCAAATCCCCCAGACGACGTGCGTGTGCACGAAACGCGTAGGAGGAGCCAGGAACGCCGTGACGTCACGCGCCGGAGCATCGTGGAGCTCCGGCGGCCATCTTTAACATTGGACGGTCAGTCCAGGATTTCTCTTGTTTTTACTTTGATTCATACATCGATGTTTATCTTCGTTTATACCAATAAATACCTAACTACTACACTATGGAGATGTCTCTACTTTGACTCCCTCGGGGAGTATTAATTTACAGCCATCTGGCCACTGCTGGTGAAAGGAGGGTCCTCATCACTGGAGGGAGACCATTGGATTTCAAGTTCCATCTTGATCAGCTGATGACCTCAAGGGATCAGTGTATATATATATATATACAAACGCTCATTAAACTGTGCGTTCTGGTGAGTGTGTGCATTCCTTCTGCACTATATCGCACAGTATCCTGTCACCTGGAGAATAGGAATAGATGAGAGCACCAGAAGTCACCTTGATATCACCATATGAACTATTATTTTATCTTTTTATCTATTTATTGATATACCTAGAGTACCTTTTGTCCAGCGCTGCATCTATTGATTTATATTATTGTATATACTTACCTATTTTCAGCCCACTCCAGTCCGGTCATGTGATCTCCTGTGTCAGCCAGCGGCAGCTGCAGGGGAGAGTAGAAAGCACCCAACAACGGATGGGAAAGTTGGGAGTGGCGACATCACCCATAGACTCCCAATACCCAAGCCATTGTCAGCATAATCTCCCTGTGTTCGCCTGAGGAAGCTTCAGGGGAAAAGAGTGAGTGCCCGTTTTCTCTCTCCCTCAGCCTCCAATGGCTGACAGAGGGGAGTCCGATCATGTGATCATACCAGTGCGGGCTGAAAAATACATTCACCTTTTTACACAGTCTAGTTAGCATAGGTGTTAGGAGGGGGAAGGGAGCATTTTTAAAACTAGTTAGGTCTTCGCTAGAATTCTACTTTAAAATGCATATGTGTAACTGAACTTGTGTAGATTTTTTCAAGGATGAGAACAGAAGACTGTCTTGGAACTTCGTCTGTAATATTTTTCAGACTACCATTGAGTTTCCTTTTTGTGTGATATAAAATAGTTTACACTACATACTGTGTGATTTTTATTTATGTATTTTTTATTACACAGGTTCACTTGTCACCATCCCTCCTTCCTCCTGCACCATCTGAGCAATAATGCTGGACTTCCTGGCAGAAAACAACTTCTGTGGGCAGGCCGTCCTGCGGATTGTCTCCCGGGGCAATGCCATCATTGCTGAACTGCTGAGATTGTCTGAGTTTGTCCCTGGGGTCTTCAGGTTAAAGGACAAAGCCGACCAACAGAAATATGGGGAGATTATATTTGATTTCAGCTACTTCAAGGCAAGTCAGCAGATGACCGCAATAAAACTCCAAGCAATGCTATCAATAATTATTAATAGATAATTTATTAGGTTCCATAAAATCTCACATGTTCAATGTGTTAATATAATTTCAATAGTAATATGTTTTATTTTCTCATGAATATATTTTCTTTTCATTTATACCTGATGATCCTCCTAGGAAGGTTCTTGTTTAGGCATTTCCTGATCTGGGGTGACCATTTTCAGTCCCTGAGTCCCAACTGTGCTCCTGCATTGTCATTTTGTCACATGTGACTCTGATGCAGACTACAAGTTGCCCAGCCATATCACATCGTGTGGCCATGTTCCATCATAGTCGGTTACAGGAAGCCAGTATAGAGCAGTAATGTGCAGCCGATGCTGGAGACAGGAAGTGGCTAAAAAGGCTGGAGGAGATCAGCAATACTGAGACGGGGGGGGGGGGGGGGTTTAAAAAATACATTCTGTAGGAAAAAGCATGGCACTTGTTTACGATACAAATTGCTTTAACATAATGTCATTTAGTTAGGTTAAGTTTATATTCGAGGTAATCATTGCTGTGCCTCTAAAAAGCAATCTGAGGTGGATTGCTTTTTCAGAGGCGTTTGGTGGTGAGGAAGAGATATGTTGCCACCTCACCTCCAGATTTAACCCTGTACAGTTGGCAATGCTCTGCTGCAACCATATGCATTGCACAGAACTACTGCACAATCCCATTTACTTGAATGCTTTGCAAAGAATTGCTGCACAGTTCCATTTACTTGAATGGGTAGTTTTCAGCATCGGCACTGCCTACTGAACGTGACGGGGTAAATGTTTTGTAGCAGCATGTGTGCAAGACTGTCCAGCTGCCTTTGCAGCTTTTCGGGAGGTAATCAGTAAAAAACAATATTGAATCTTAAAAGGTTAGTCAGTAAAAACATAGCTCAACCACTTTATTTTATCGCCCTCCCCAACCGCAAGAGGAAACAAGTCTTTAGAGCTTAGATCTACTTTAGAAAAAAAAAAGGAAATGGAAAAGGAAATCAAACACTTTATTCAAAACAAGAGTACAGAACTACACTGCTCAAAAAAAAATTAAAGGAAATCTTTTCAATCAGTATAGCATCAAGTCATTGAAACTCCTAGGATATTGATCTGGTCAGTTAGGTAGCAGAGGGGATTGTTAATCAGTTTCAGCTGCTTTGGTGTTAATGAGATTAACAACAGGTGCAACAATGAGACGACCCCCAAAACAGGAATGGTTTTACAGGTGGAGGTCACTGACATTTTTTTCCCTACTCATCTTTTCTGACTGTTTTTCAGTATTTTTGCATTTGCCTAGGGTCAGTGTCACCAATATTAGCATGAGGCGATACATGAACCCTACAGAGGTTGCACAAGCAGTCCAGCTCCTCCAGGATGGCACATCAATACATGACATTGACAGAAGGTTTGCTGTGTCTCCCAGCACAGCCTCAAGAGCATGGAGGAGATTCCAGGAGACAGGCAGTTAGAGCCAGAGAGCTAGACAGGGCCATGGAAGGTCCTTAACCCATCAGCAGGACTGGTATCTGCTCCTTTGTGCAAGGAGGAACAGGATGAGCACTGCCAGAGCCCTACAAAATGTCCTCCAGCAGGCCACTGGTGTGAATGTCTCTGACCAAACAATCAGAAACAGACTTCATGAGGGCGGCCTGAGGGCCCGACATCCTCTAGTGGGCCTGTGCTCACTGCCCAGCACCTTAGAGATCGATTGGCATTTGCCATTGAACACCAGAATTGGCAGGTCCTCCACTGGCATCCTGTGCTTTTCACAGATGAGAGCAGGTTCACCCTGAGCACATGTGACAGTTGTGAAAGGGTCTGTTGAAGCCGTGGAGAATGTTATGCTGCCTGTAACATGGTTCAGCATGACCGTTTTGGTGGTGGGTCAGTGATGGTCTGGGTAGGACCTATCCATGTAGGGACACATAGACCTCTACAGGCTAGACCGTGGCACCCTGATTGCCATTAGGTATCGGGATGACATCCTTGGACCCATTGTCAGTCCCTACACTGGTGCAGTGGGTTCTGGGTTCCTCCTGGTGCACAACAATGCCCGACCTCATGTAGTGAGAGTACGCAGGCAGTTCCTGGAGGATGAAGGAATTGATACCATTGAATGGCCCCCACACTTGCCTGACCTAAATCCAATAGAACACCTCGGGATATCATGTTTCAGTTCATCTGACACCGCCAGGTTGCAACTCAGACTGTCCAGGAGCTCAGTGATGCCCTGGTCCAGATCTTGGAGGAAATCCCCCAGGACACCATCCGTCGTCTCATTAGGAGCCTTCCCCGACGTTGTCAGGCATGCATACAAGCACATGGGGGGCATACAAACTACTGAATGTCATTTTGAGTTGCTGCAATGAATTTTCAGCAGAATGGACTCGCCTTCTGCATCATTTTTTCACTTTGATTTTCAGGGTGTCTTTGATTTCAGTCCTCTGTAGGTTGATCATTTTCATTTCCATTGAACAATGGGGCATCCTTACATTCCAACACATTACCCGTCCATATCAGTATAAATATCTAGCATGATATATTTCCCCATTGAGATCTGATGGGTTTTCAAAGTGTTCCTTCAATTTTTTTGAGCCGTGTTTTTTATGATGCCTGATAAAGAAACCAAACGTATATTAGAAAGCATATATCCAGGCAGATAAAAGAAGCACCGATCAAAGCAGCTCATTAAATGTGTGCGGGGTTCTTTTGTTTGTTTTTTTAATGCAAGCAGTGTACCTCAGTTAGTCCCCAGTCACATCGGTGCAAATTGTCATGCAATTTGATTGTTTCAAATCTCATGACCACTCGCACCCTATTGTCCGCAATGGCAGCAGTCATACAAGTGCGATTCTGACTCCGTCTGAGTTGCTTCGATTTTAAAAGTACTTCATGCACTACTTTTTGTAAGTTTCAAGTGTGATGTGCATAGACATCTGTGCATGAAGTCAAACAGATGTCTTCCAAGTCGCGCTTGAAGTCAGGCTGACATCTGACTTTGAAATCCCGTGAATTCAAGTGAAATTGCAAGAATTCAAAGTCGGATTTGGTGTGACCTGGTGTCAGTCTCTTGCAGCCCCTGTACAGCAGAGCTCAGATTGGGGAAGGAAGAAGCAGCACAAGGAACCAAACAGTGGTGCTTGCAGTGCAAAGATGATGTTAAGAGGAGAGAGCAGAGTAATACATTTGCTTATCATTCTGCTGCTTCTTCTTTTACTGTTCAGTCACATGTTGAGGTTTGGGGACCATACCTCTAAACATTCTGTACCTGCAGCAGAAAAAAATAAGGTCTTCTTCCCTGCCAGAAAAGGCTACGCCATGTAGCAGAGCTATATAAACCTCAGGACTGGATGAACAGAAATAATAATTCTTTGACAAGTTAAACAGCTCCTCTGTATGTATTTCATCTGTTTTTTTGGCTGTCTGCTTGGAATTCACCTTTTCTGTAACTCACGCCAGACCATTTTTTATGCCTTTTGGATAGTGAGGAAGGGTTAGAACTCATAAGTGTTGTGTTTTTTTTTTTTGTTTTTTTTTATTGCTGCCTATCTTCCTCCTGTATTTTTTTTTCTTTTAAATATGAATATAAAAAAGATTGCAGCAGAATAGTGACTTGCGTATATTCCACAATGGGAACTATGCTTGCTATTTCATATAAACATCCCTAATGTAATTTTTGTCATGGTTGTATTTTCTCCTTTTTACCCCAGCAGTAATAAAGACATTTGATTTTTCTATGCAGGGACCTGAGAATTTTGAGGGGAAACTGGAAGCCAAACTGGAACTTCAGGATCTGGATGAGGAGTTTCGGGAGAACAACATAGAAATCCTCACAAGATTCTATTTGGCCTTTGAGAGTGTTCACAAGTACATTGTGGATTTAAATAGGTACACTATCAGTGTTTTTTAATAGTTCTATTTTTGTTTGCAGTATTGCAGGACACCTTCCTTTTAATGAAGTCTTTCTTTAAACATCTAGGGAGAGCAAAGGCTTGAATGTGTGCCTAACTAGTGTTTGTGTGTACTGCAATGTGCTTTCACTAAGGGATGTGCTGGTTTTTATTCCCTGCTTAACAGGGAAACAAAAACCAGCACATCCCCACTAACAGGACAGAACTCTCTACTGTTTACATTGACAGTGCTCTGCCCATTCTTCCTCCTCGCTGATCAGCAGGTGCCGTTGATCAATCATTGACCAGCACCCGCTGATCTGCATGTGGTGTGACTAATCGCAGCACGGCCGGTGCGCCTCCTACCTGGAAGTACTGGATCACGTACTAGGCACTTGATCCGGCACAGGAGAGCCGCTCTGCTGCCGTACTCCCACAGGAGGCAGTCGGCAAGCGGTTAAAAAAATTCCCTCATCCCTCGAGTGCTGCCAGCCTGGGATTCCATTCTGATTCAGCTGGTATTCCTCTCACTAGGCCATGGCCAGCTACTACTCATTATGCTCATTATGTTTGTGTGTAGATTGAAGAGCGGAAGAAAGATTGCTGGATTGGGGAGAAAAGTAAATACAGTGTGTTTCAAAAAAGCTGATTTATTCATAACGGAATGAACCGAACACAATTGTATTAACATGAAAAGATACATTAACTGTCCAAGTTTTACCACTGCATTACAAACGTAGTTAAGATATAAATCGGCTTTGCTTTTGCACCTTACTTTTTGAATCACACTGTATTATGCGAGGTTGACTGCATTCAGGGGGGCATGGAAATTGTTAAAGGGATAGTTCACCTTCACCAAAGAATTGCCTATGCAGGTAAGGGGCATCTTTGGATAAAAACAAACTGTGTGTGTCTCTGACTAATGTTCAGTAATGCCTTTGTTGTTATAGGTGTAGGCGTACCTCATGAAACCTGACTGAAATACTCCCAGGACGTTGCTAAGTGAGGCCTGTCATGATAATGCACACCCACGATGACTAGGGTGTGGTCCGTGACTTAGGGTAAAGAGGCAAGAAGGGGGGCTTACTTTGAGCATATAAGACTGGCTGTGGTACACTTTCACAGACCGCACTACCCCTGGTCACCACTAGAGGGAGACTCCACTCCAATTTAGCTGGCTGACCACACACAGGCAGATATCAATCTTCTATACAATTTGGTGCACTCTAAGGGTTGGGGAACAGTCTAGCAATTCGCACACCCTTCTAGGATTGCTCCAGCTAAGGCACAAGCTAGAACCCCGGTGTTAATCACTTTCCTACTGTCCACATACCCCCACACCAGATACACAATAAATGGTAGCATGCCACCACCCAACAGTTTGCCTAAAGACTGGTCTGCTGGGCCTCCACACACAAATCTCATTCTGGCAGATCTGCTACTTTACAATCTGCATGCAATCTACCAACACGCAGTGCAATTGCATACAGATTGGGCAATGAACTTAGATCGAGCACATAGACACTACAATACAACAATCTCTTCACAGATAAGAGCCCTATTTAGTATACAGAAGTTGCTTATTAATTTTAATATTTTATTATCCCAAAAGTGGGCAGTGCATAAAATATGTACTAAGAAACAGTTACAGAAAGTACAAAAAAAACATACACAGTTGGCTATTCACTGTAAAATTAAAAGGGAATAAAACAGAAATAAAACTTTTACCAAGATTTATCCTGTGACTGGAGCAAGTCGAAAGTCCACAATTTGCCAGTCAAATAGAACCGGCTCCATATGAATCACTCTGTCCATATCTCAGGGTCCTCAATTTATTGAAATATGGATGTGGGCTGGACTTTAGCCCTTGGCCAATCAACCCTGGAGGATGTTCCTGTACCAGCCCACAGGACTTTGTTTTCTGAAGTGCCCAGAGCTGAATGGGCCAGGAATGGTTCGGATCACTGGGTCAGGAATAGGATCTCCGACACCAGCACGTCCATCCGATCGCGACATTACCAATCACTGTCCAGCTGTTGCAATCAGGTGCCATGTAACCGTTTTGTGTGTTTCTCTGGGTTTCAACATAGACTACAAATACAGTTTTACATGTACATGTAGCCTAAAATGTGTCCAATCAGAAGGAATTATTTTTGTCTCTATGCAACTAATATTTTAGCTTTTATGAGAAATGAAATAGATTCCTCTGCTCTATTAGGTCTGCAAGTTTTGATTTATACTTTCTGGGCCTTCCCTCTGTCTCCTGCTGATTTGTGTAGTCAAATGACTAGGATTCTTCTTTTAGGTTCAAGAAGATGGCAATCTCTGGCTACATAGATGAGAAAGTTTTATTGGTATCTTGGTGTCACCTTTAGCCTAGGAGCGTGCTCTGTCCTTTCATGTTCAAATATTTTATTGTAAGGCAACAGGCCAAAGTTCCAGTTCAGTAACACAGAGAAAATGAACATGGGTTACATAATAGTGGGACAGGGTATGAGATCAACAGGTGGAGACCATGTAGCAGTATTCGTATCACATACATGTACAATCAGGAGGGATGTAGGAAATCCTGCATCCGGAATAAACCAATACATTGAAATACATACAGTGCTCAACATGTAGATGGGAGTTCCGAGGAACAGATATCAAGAAATGTGCAATGAACAATGAGGTATTGGCGTCAGTGGATACAAACAAAAACAGCATGATGCAAAGAGCTGCGAGTTAATCTATACCGGAGTAGGGGTTATAGTATGGGTTCGATAACCCATAATTATTGTTAAGGGATGGGCGGCTATCGACTTAGCATGTAGTAAGGTTGAAATTTATACTGATTATGACCAGGCTATCTGTAGGCTTGATGCCTGGGGGCAGGAGCGGACTGACCATGTGGAAACTCGGGCACTGCCCGAAGGCCGAGGTCAGAAGGGGGCCCCATGAGATGCACCGGTACCTTTTTCATAGGCTTTTTTGAGTTTGGGCAAGGACACAGGGGCCCCATGATCACCTATTGCCCGGGGGCCCCATGAGTTGTCAGTCCGCCCCTGCCTGGGAGAGAAGGGGGAAGTAGCAGAAAATTGGGAAGGTGGGTTTAGGGGGAAGGAAAAGCTAGAGGGGGTAAGGAAGGACAGGGGGGTACAAGAACTGGGGGGAGAGGGGGCATTAAACAGATTCGTGGAGGGATAAGACAGATAGGGAGGAAAAACATAGGTTAGTATCGCACAGGAAAGGATCAGGGAAATAGAAATGAATAGGCAGAGAAAAGAAAAGTGGGCTGGTAAAGGGCAGTCATGAGAAGAGGGGATGAAAGGATAGCCCCAAGGGTAGGCAGGGTCCTATTCTCTGTCCTTTCGAATGCTGATTAAAAACATATGTCTCTGACTGATTAAGGAATACTGTATCTCTAATAACTCAGGATTAAACTGTATCTACTACTGAACTACTTCTTCAGATCACGTCATATCTCAGCTACTGATGAAATTATTCTACTCCTTAGATGTATGTTACAAGTCCTAATCATTACTGCTCACCTCCACTATCTCAGATGTGAGCTTTTGCTGAGAGCTCACTCTTGTGATGAAGGAAGTGAGCAGTAACATGCAGGCTTCACTTAGCAACGTCCTGGTTGTATTCCAGGCAGGCTTCATGAGGAACGTAAATGGCCTACGCCTATAGCAAGGGCATTATTAAACTTTAGTCAGTGCTGTACAGTTTGTGTTTATCTACAGACACCCCTTATCTTTTATAGGCAGTTTTTTGGTAAAGGTGAACGAACCCTTTAAATGACAACTTCACTAAAGGTGTCCTGTGAAGCTAATCTGTGCTTTGCCCAGGCAAGGCAAAGCACCATGTTTGCTTTAACCCCCTTCCTAGCACATACTAGCTTCCCTTTGCTCCCCCACCATCCTTTACAGCTGCCAGAATTGAAAAGAAAAATACCCAATACTTCTGCTTATGGAGAAGCACATGACTCACTCAATTTGACAGTTCTAGGCTGATCGCCATGCACCATTTCACACCTAAAATGTAGTTTTTTTTTTATATATGCAAGTAAATATATATTCTTGTTTCAGGTATTTGGAAGACCTTAATGAAGGAATTTATATCCAGCAAACCCTAGAAACTGTCCTTCTCAATGAGGATGGGAAGCAACTCTTGGTGAGTAAAGACAGATCCTCTATAGCAGGCTTAGGCTATCACATGTTGGTGAAGTCTGTGCTACAGCTTGACATCGAAATATCTTATACCATTAATTTGCCTAATTTACCTGCACTGCTGAATGATAACTTGATTAAAAATAAAAAAGAAAAGCTCTTCAACTTCCTTTAAAAAAACAAATATAACATAAAAAATTGATACACAAGCCATTTTGTAATTAATGTTATTAAAAATTACTTTTCAAATCTTCAGCCACTCTAATTTTCTGAAAATGTAAAAGGAAAAAAGAATGCTCTATGGCAGCATGAAAGTGTTCTGTACATCATTGATGTATGGGGTGCCCACAGCAGTGTCATTTCCTACTTTTGTAATTGGTTCACTGATTTAAAAGTCTGCTCTAAGATGCGTAACAATGTAGACACCTCCCTACAATAGGGATTTCATTTTTTTTTTCAGTTTCTTTGGCATTATCTCTCACTAATTGCAGTTTTGTTTAGTAATTCCATTTTTTGGTGACTACTGCAAAGTTTTTTAATGGTAAGGAATGCATTACGGCAGGGGAATTCAAACTTTCTAAACAAAGGGCCAGTTTACTGTCCTTCAGACTTTAGGGGGCTGGACTGTGGCCATTGGGAATAAAAGATGTGCTGGTGTCAGTGAGAGTAAACAATGCCTTGGTGTCATTGGGAGGAGATGTGCCCCATCATTTCTGTCAGTAGGAGCAATAATTCCCCATGGTTGGTGTCAGGAAGAGGATTATTTTCCTAGCATTGGTGTTAGTGGGAGGAATAAAGCCCCCATCGGTGTCAGTGGGAGGAATAGTACCCCACTGTTGGTATAAGTAGCAGGAATTATGGCTGATTGCTAATGTCAGTGGGAGGAATAGTGCTTCACTGGCCGGATAAAGGTAAGCAAAGAGCCGCATTCAGCCCCGGGCCGCAGTATGCAGACCACTGCATTAAGATAAAAAATGTTTTACCTTTAGAACCAGTTAGAGGAAGTAAATGTGTGGATATCTTCACAAAGTAACTTTAAAAGCTTCAAGATCACTTAGATTAATAGTTGGCTAGACATTAAGGAAATGAAATCTAATGTAGAAATTAATATATGATTTTATATTTTGACAATAGATACACTTTAATAAAGTGGTCAGTTAGTGTGCTGGTGTGTGTGTGTGTGTGTGTATGTGTGTATGTATATGTGTATATGTATGTGTATATATATATATATATATATTTTTTTATTTTTTTTTGTATACTTGTCACACTTAAATGATTCAGATGATCAAAAAATTTTATTATTATACAAAGATAACCCGAGTAAATACAAAATGCAGTTTTTAAATGATAGTTTAATTTATTAAGGGAAAAAAGCTGTCCAAACCTGCCTGGCACTATGTGAAATAGTACTTCCCACCCCCCAAACCTAATAACTGGTTGTACCACCCTTGGTGGCAACAACTGCAATCAAGCATTTGCAGTAACTGGCAATGAGTCTCCTACATCACTATGGATGAATTTTGGCCCACATTTCTTTGCAGAATTGTTTTAATTCGACCACATTGGAGGGTTTTTGAGCATGAATGGCCTGTTTAAGGTCATGCCACAGCATCTCAATCGGATTTAAGTCCGGACTTTAGCTAGGCCACTCCAAAGCCTTAATTTTTTTTTTTTCCCGAGCCATTCAGAGATGGATTTGCTGATGTGTTTCAGATCATTGTCCTGCTGCATAATCCAAGTGCACGTGGGCTTGAGGTCCCTAACTGATGGCCAGACATTCTCCTTCAGAATTTTCTGGTAGAGTGCAGAATTCATGGTTCCATCAACTATGGCAAGTCGTCCAGGTCCTGATGCTGCAAAGCAGCCCCAGACGATCACACTACCGCCATGATGTTTGACTGCTGATATGTTCTTTTTATGAAATACTGTGTTAGTTTTACGCCAGATGTAGCGGGACACACACCTTCCCAAAAGTTCAGCTTTTGTCTCCTCAGTTCACAAAATATTTGGCCTAAAATCTTGAGGATAATTAAGATGTTTTTTGGCAAATGTGAGATGAGCCTTTCTGTTCTTTTTGGTCAGCAGTGGCTCTCGCCTTGGAACTCTCCCATGGAGGCCTTTTTTGCCCAGTCTCTCTCTTATTGTTGAATCATGAACACTGACCTTCACTGAGGCAAGTGAGGCCTGCAGTTCTTTAGCTGTTGTTTTGGGGTTCCTTTATGACCTCCTGGATGAGTTGTCTTTGTGCTCTTGGAGTAAATTTGATAGGCTGGCCACTCCTGGGAAGGTTCGCCACAATTCCAAATGTTCTCCATTTGTTGATAATGGCTTTCACCATGGGTAGCTGAAGTCCCAAAGCCTTAGAAATGGCTTTGTAACCCATTTTAGGCTGATACATGTCAAATACATTGTTTCTCATTTGTTCTTGAATTTTTTCTAGACCTTGACATGTGTTGCTTTTTCAGATATTTTAGCATGCTTCACTTTGTCAGACAACTCTATATTTAAGTGATTTCTAGATTCAACAGATCTGGCAATAATCAGGCCTGGGTGTGGCAAGTGAAATTTAACTCCGCTTTCCAAAATATGTATTTAATCACAGTTTATTCATGATTTAGCAAAGGAGGGGAATTACTTTTTCACACAGGGCCAGGTAGGTTTGGGCACTTTTTCCCTTTAATAAATGAAATCTTCATTTAAAAACAGCATTTTGTATTTACTCAGGCTATCTTTGTGTAATAACATTTTTTTTTGACGATTTGAATCATTTAAGTGTGACAGATATGCAAAAAACAAATCAGGAAGGGGGCAAATATTTGTAACTCTACATGTCTCTGAAATGAACTAACCTATCTGCTTTCTGATACATAGTGTGAAGCTTTGTACCTGTATGGGGTGATGCTGCTGGTAATCGACCAGAAGATTGAAGGGGAGGTCCGGGAGAGGATGCTGGTGTCTTACTACAGATACAGGTAAGTCTGCCTTATGTTTATATTTTCAGTCTGATGATCTTGCCACATTCTGTCTCTGATATTGGACTCTTTAGGCTACATTCACATTATGAGGGCCAGTGTGAATTGTAGCAGCAGTCCCTGCTGCAACCTTCAGCAATTATCACGATCAGGTGTGCCCACTGGCCCCATTCGCTATAATGACTGGTCACCAGCGACCGCAGCTACTCGCCACTCTCTGCACAGCCAGAAATTATCTGTGGTGATCACTGCTTGGTGCACAAAAAGTGCTGGCTGTGCAGAGAGCAGTGAATAGCTGTGTCCACTGCCGATTTGTCATTATAGTGAACGGCAGATAGTTGCAGTAGGATTCTCTGATCCCTGCCGCTACAGTTCGCATCGGATCTAATTGTTGGTCTGATTGGTAGCATTACTATATCACAGTATCCAGTGCCTCAGTTAATTCTGTGAAGGTTTGAGCTTTGTATCCTCTATCCCAAACAACAGTGTTTAATTGTTTTCAGTGCAGTGATGGACACTACTTCTAAATCGCATAGTCAGGTCTGTGACCTCACATTTTTCTGCATTGCAAATAGGTAATACAGTTAGGTCACTGGACACCCCAGCCTGCTGATTGGACAATGAAAGAGCAGCAACACCGTGATGAAGAAAACACTCTGCTGTCTCCAATGAGGAGCGGCGAGTGTTAGATCGACGGCACTATGTTATGCAGAATCTCAAGATTACATCATTTGGGTTATCTGTGCAATTTCAGGCTGTAACTATGTGATCAGTTTGGTGACTTAATTCTGTTCATTCATATTCAGTGCTGCCAGATCTTCTGCGGACTCGAACATGGATGATATATGTAAGCTTCTGCGTAGTACAGGCTATTCCAGCCAGCCAGGATCCAAACGCCCCCTGAATTACCCTGAAAGCTACTTCAGTCGAGTGCCTATTAGTGAAACATTCATCAGCATGGTGATTGGCAGACTGAGATCTGATGATATTTATAATCAGGTAAGGAGAACACTTTAGGTCTGATATATCACACATTCAAAGAACTGCTGATATTTTCCCACAGCCGCTAAGATTAGACTTTGAATCTTGTGATGGGTTTACCTCAATTTCTTTAAACGGATGGGCAGAGTTTTCTTTATTTTCTAATCCATCTTCATGCCAGTGTCATATGAATTAAGTAAATGGTTAAAACCAGACCTTGTACATCAATCACAAGGTCCTCTTATTCAAGGTCGTCCCCCCCCCCCCCCCTTAGCTAAAACCAAACCCGGTGGGAAGAAAAAACGTAGGTGGTATACTTAGGTTTCCCGTGTGTGTGTGTGCGTGCGTGCGTGCGTGCTCTTTTTGTGCAGCATTTAACGAAGCGGGGTGGGAGTCCAGATTAAATAAAAGGACCTTGCCCAAAGTGAAGGATCCACTTTAAAGGATATATAAACCATAAAGATGAATGTCTCTTATTTGCTCCCTTTTTGATTTGTTTAAAAAATAAGTCTGTTCAAATAATTTAAAAAATGCTTTTTGATCTTGCTAGAAACCAGTGCTTTCCTTTTCCTGTTCATGCTGTGGAACTACATAACTCCTAAGTAACAAAACCCCTACATAACTAGGGGTGCCGCTCAAGTGGCTCATGCTGAGGGTGCAGGTTGGGGAGAACCTGTCCTGCTCAATGCAGGTAATAAAGGAAAGAAACAACTCTGAGTGCCACAGACCATCAGAACCCAACAGTTACTATAGTAGAAGCAGCCTCAGCCTAGTTCCATCCAGGCTACGCTCCCCTCCAACGTGTTTTGCCCTGCTCTCTTGCATGACTAAGTCCTGTGAGCAGGGCAAAAAACTCGTTGGGAGCGTGGTCTGGACAGAGTGGGGCTGATGCTACTTCTACTATGGGGACTGTCGGGTCTTGATGGTTTGCAGCACTCAGGGTGGTTTCTTTCCTTTTATGTTTTATGCTGCTTTTCCATAGATACAATATGGTAAGTGAGCATTTGTTTAAGCAGCTACCATATCTAGAACTAGTAAAATGCAATATATAACATTCTTGTTCCAGGTTTAGATACTGTACTTTTAATTATTGTTTCATTACCCCTTGTTGGTAAAATGTCTTGGCTTTGGGAGGTTAAACATACCATATTTTGCTTCTTAGCTATAGGTGATGGCAGACCCCATTGCAGCCCAATTTTTCTTTATTGACAGCCTTCATACCTTGTCATGCTGCAAGTCCTGTGTTTTCTATTAGGTCTCAGCCTATCCATTGCCTGAACACCGCAGTACTGCCCTTGCCACTCAGGCTGCAATGCTGTACGTGATCCTGTACTTCCACCCATCCACCCTACACACCCATCAAGCCAAGATGAGGGAAATAGTGGACAAATATTTCCCTGATAATTGGGTAAGTTACAGTCTAGGTAGGTAAATATTTTTTATTGTTTTTTTTTTTTTCCAACCTCTGTACAGTTATTTTTATTGTTGCCCATAACTGGAAGGGTTATTCTTCCTGTCGTAATGACCCTTTTTTTTTTAAATTTTGTATGTACACTGATATACCCAACCTGTTTTTGTTGGGCACCATTATTTTTTATTTTACCAACAGTAATGCAAATTGAGTTACATTTTTAGATTTGGATCAGGTGTGAGAAACTGTTTACAGCTTTGCTCCTTGGATAGAAAACTGAAGTCAGAGACAGTCTAAGCAGGGTCTCTTAACCAGTGTTCCATGGAACCCTAAGGTTCCTCAAGAGGTAGCTAGGGGTTATTTGAGCAATGAGCAATATCTGCCTCTTAGATAAGTTCCCACAGACACCGTTGGTCTGTTTAGTTATCTGTAGGGGGACATTCTTCCCAATGGCTGCAAGTATAAGGAGCTTTCTTCCCACTGACCATCACACTAATGTATCATGTAGTTATAGTCATTTTTAGCAGGGGTTCCCTGATACCAGAAAGATATTTCAAGGATTCATCTGTGTTGAAAAGGTTGACAAAAGGCCAGTCTATAGGGACATTATAGGATTCTCAAAAAAAACCCTCTTTCCCATCATTGGGTCTCTGTGTTTCTTTATGAAATGCAGGCAGATCATAGCTTGGGGTAGGAGGGGTCTGCAGGGTGCTGTACATAGCTTCCTGAAAACACCCCAGCACCCTGTTTTAGTACTTCTTTTATTTTCACTAGTCCTTGATGTAAGGGAAAATATAAGGAGCTTTTAGTCAAATTTTTTGTTCCACTAGAAAGTACAATTTCAGTTCTACTTCAAATCCGGTTTTCAACACTTCTAACCCTTTTTGTTTTCTTTTTTTTTGCACAGGTCATCAGTATTTATATGGGGATCACCATAAATCTAATGGAGGCATGGGAGCCATACAAGGCTGCAAAGACTGCTCTGAACTACACCTTGGATCTGCCAAATATCAAAGAGCAGGTAGGACTGCGGGCAGTGTTTTCATGCTTATTCTAAGGCTGACCATCAAGGTTCAAATTTACGTGTACATTCCTGTGAGCTAGACTAAAAGGTCCTAGTTTTAGGGCCTGTTCATTTTGAAAGAGTAGAATTCTTTATCTTTTAATCATTTAGACAGATCCCAACAATAAAGGGAAAAAATAGAGCGCACCAACCTAGTGCAGTATCTTAAGGATTTTTATTGTAAAGAAGGTAAAATATTACTCACAAACAAATAGGAAAAGCACACTTCAATCCACACATCCATGGCCAAATAGAACAGTCTTTCACACCTAGGAGGGACCTCGCCGGGGACCCTGAAGGCTTACCGGTTTCGAAGGATGTCCTTCTTCCTCTGAGGCTCTGAGGAAGAAGGACATCCTTTGAATTGCATCAGCCTTCAGGTTCCCCTGGTGAGGTACCCCCTTGGTCTGGGAAACTGTTGTGTCCGGCCACGGATCTGTGACTTGAAGTGTGCTTTTCCTATATGTTTGTGAGTAATATTTCACTTTTTTTTTTTTTTGTTTTTTTTTTTTTTTTTACAATAAAAATCCTTAAGATAATGCACTAAGTTAGTGCGCCCTTTTTTTTCCCTTTCTTGTTGTTGTGATCACGGGACATCCCCAGTCCTTGAGAATAGCAAGACCATGTGTGATTATTTGCTTCTATACTGAACCAAGACTTATGCGCAGGAGATTTTTGTTCTGTACTGTTGATCAGGATCCCAACAATGTCATGATCCACTCAGGTGCCTGATCAGCAACTGGCTCAATCTCACAGCACACCGCCGAGAGCCTGAGCCAGCCACTCCCGCCCCCTCTCCGGCCCAGGGCTCTACTGGGAGCTGGATGGGCAGAGCACAGAGCTCAGACTGACAGTTACCACTCCCTGCTCAGCATGGACAGAGAACTGCACTATTAGCAGTCATTTGATCACTCTGTTCTCAGGATTACATCTGGCGGGGGACAGCTGCAGCATCACACAACGATGCTGCACCAGGGAGGTGAGTATGTGTGTTTTATTTTTTTGTATTCCCATACTTCTCTTTTTTAAAGAGCATACATTTTTTTTCCAAATTTGGAGGGAAAAAAGCATGTTGTGTTTTTTTTTTTTTTTTTTTTTTTAAATAGTTTAACAAAAAAAAAGCTTAAATATATATATATATATATATATATATATATATATATGCAGTTTTATTAGTGATTAAGCTAAACAATGCTTGCTGATCTTGCAAAGTTTGGCCTAGGCATCTATCAATAACCTTCGATTTTAAAAGGGTTAAATACTAACTGCTAAGGCTATATTAGTAATAATTTGAAAATGTTAAAGTATAAAAACTTTTTTTTTTTTTTTTTAAGTTTTGGATTAGAACACTTGTCAGATTTTATTGTTGTCTGTGTTTCCATTAGGGAGATTCACCCTCTCTATTTGTCCTGTTTAACGTTTTTAGCAAAAGTAAAAATAAAAATACATTCACAAATTCTACGCTATCCTCCGAACAGTAGTAGAAGGGAAATCTTTCAACAAGGAACACTGGTTACAGTGACAACCAGGGTTTCCCTTTTTGAAAGAAATTCTCTCTCACTTCCTGTTTTGGGTATGAGACAGGAAGTGAAGGGAAATCTTCACAATGGGACACAGATGGCTATAAAAGGGTTCTAACCTCCCCTTACTCTATCCAAAATAGGGGGGGGGGAAAGTTTTGCGTTTAATTCTACTTCAGTGTTGCTCCATTCTTGTTTTCATCAGGCATGTCGCTATGCAGCTATTGTAGAGCGCCTGCATCCACAGGTCCAGCAGTTCCTGAAGGAGGGTTTCCTGAGAGAGGAATTTGTCCTGGATAATATCCCCAAGCTGCTAAACTGCCTTCGTGACTGCAACGTCGCCATCAGGTGGCTGATGCTTCACACGGCAGATTCGGGTAAGTGTTTCAGATTATTAACTGCTTCCCCTCCACCCTGTAGCAGAAATACTGGTACAGGGCGGCATTAGTGTGCAAAATCACGTGTATATATACAGGATTTGGCATTTCTGGCCATTCGCAGCCTCTGCTGTTAATCACCGGGTCCCGGCCGGTGATTACTCGACGGCACCCGGTGATCGCCGAGTATCTCCGATGGGGGGAGAGACCTGTGTATAAACAACACAGATCTCTCCCCTGTCAGCTCCTGCACACTGCTTTGCATGGATCTGCATAGCAGAGCCATACAAAGCAGTGTGCTCACAGTGAAGCACACACACAGCCCCCATAGTGAAACGACACACAGTTAACCCTTTGATCACCCCAGATGTTAACCTCTTCCTGCCCAGTGTCATTAGTACAGTGTCAGTACTTTTTATTAGCACTGTATGGATGTCAGTGACACAAAGTCAGTTCCCTCCCAGTGTCAGGAAGCCCGCTGCAGTCCCACAGTCCCACTATAAGTCACTGATCGCCTCCATTACTAGTAAAAAAAAAAAAAAAAATTAACAACATTCCAATATGTATACCACCATTTGTAACGTTATACCTTTCATGTAAACCAATTCATTTACACGTATTAGGATTTTTTTTTTAGCAAAGACATGTAGCAGAATGCATTTTGGCCTAAATTTATGATGCAATTTGTTGTTGTTTGTTTGTGATGTTTTTATTGGACATATTTAATAGCAAAAAGTCAAATATATTGTTTTTTTTTCTCAAAAGTGTCAGCTTTTTTTTTTTTTTTTTTTTTATAGCAAACAATTAAAAACTCATAGGCCATCAAATACCACCAAAAGAAAGCTCAATTTGTGGGAAAAAAAGGATGTAAATTTCATTTGGGTGCAGCGTTGCATGACTGCGCAATTGTCAGTTAAAGTAACACAGCGCCGTAAAGTAACACAGCTCAAGAAATGGCCTGGTCAGGAAGGGGGGTAAATCCTCTGGAGGGCAAGTGGTTAAAGGACACCTTTTGGGGGCTTCAACCTGCTTGTGTTAGTACTCAGGTCTGACAATATTTCAATCAATTCAAAATGCTTGTTTTATTCTAATTTGTGTAGCACTGACATTAGAGATATTTGAAACTTTACAAATAAATTCACACTCCGGAGTTGTGTGGTTTTTTTTTTTTTGTTTTTTTTTTACTAAAACTGGAGAGTGCAAAATCTGGTGCAGCACTTCATAGAATCCCATCCGCTTCCAAGTTTTATTGAACAAGCTAAAGTTAGAAGCTGATTGGATACCATGCACAGCTGCAACAGATTCTGAGCGCTCCAGTTTTAGTAAATCTCCCCCTCTGTGTAATGAAATTACAAGGGTTAAAACCTCTTTGTCATAGTGAAATAAAAGTCCTGCTTAACTTATGAAATGCAGGGATTGGACAAAAGAAAATGTAAACACTACATGATTTTCCCGTGTGAAAGTGAAGACATGTTTCATGTTGAAAGTGGAAGTGATGTAACTTTCTTTTGCTTCCGCTGTGTGATAGTCATGTCAGAGCTTACTGAGCTTCAAAGAGGGCAAATTGTTGGTGCCGCTTAGCTGGAGCCTCTGTGACTGAAGTTGCCAATTTATTTGCCGTGTCGTGAAGTTCAGCACTAAAGGTTATGACGGCAAATACAGTTTCCAGAAACATGTCGTCTGATAAGCATAAGCACGGTCAACATGGTCAAATGAGTGAAAGGCACAAAAGGACTTTGCGCAGAATTGTGACCCAGAGTAAGAAAGCAACTGCTGCAAAAGTGACAGCAGAGCTCAATCTAAGGTAAATGGTGGTGGTGCCATCTTTGTTTGGGCAGCCATATCTTGGTATTCTGCAGGCCCCATCTTCACCTTGAAAGGTAGAGTCACTCCCAGCTACCATGTACAAATTTTGGCTGACCATATACACCCAATGGTGCAGACATTGTTTTCCGAAGACAGCGCCATTTACCAAGACGATAATGCTCTGATTCACACAGCTAGTGTTGTCAAATCGTGGTTTGATGAGCATGTTGAGGAAATCTCACACCTTTCTTTGGGGCCGCAGTCACCAGACCTCAATATCATAGAGCCACTATGGTCAATTTTGGTTCGGACTCGTTTTCTGCTTCTGGCATCTCTGCAGGAACTGGAACGATTTTTGCATGAAAAGTGATATCAGATTCCATTCTCCACCATCCAAGAGTTATATTTGTCAATTCCCAGAAGAATTCTGTCTGTCCTGGATGCCAAAAGCAGTCCAATACCTTATTAGGTAACATTTTTTTTTCTTTTACCCAATGTTTCCATCATTTTGTCCAACCTTAGATTCTAGGTGCCTTTCTGCATTGCTAATTCTCTGGTCTCAATACTTTGGTGCACTTTCGTTCCAGAAAAGTAACTTAGAAAGCATTGTAACCAGAGACCAGCATTATAACCAGAGACAGCCAGACAGCTAGCATTTTCAGAGGCAGGTCTGCTATGTCATCCTTGAACTATGTCTTGTGAGGACATTCGTTTTGTTAGACAGATAAGCCTATTGTGTCCCCCTTTGATTAAATAAATGTATCTATTGCAGCCTATGACCCGAACAACAAACGTCTTCGACAGGTCAAAGACCAGGTCTTGGCTGAGTCAAAGTACAACTCCAAGATCTTGTTCCAACTTCTGCTGGACACCGCTCAGTTTGAATTCATCTTGAAGGAGGTAACACTGTCCATTCTTTGGGTTTATTGTTAACCATGAAAATCTCACTGCTGCATTGGATTGAATTAAAGCCCAGCTGAACTTTCAGTTGAAATCAGAATTCTGGGTGCAAAAACAAAAGGTGTGCAAACTATTACATTTATGTCTTTGCGAAGCAGTCACAGTCTGAGTAAAAGAGCCTGTCCTTGCCAGCATTCTATAGAGAAGGACACTTCTACTCTGTTTGAAAGCAATGATCTCTGACCTATAGCTCGGCAATCGGCAAAGCTCATGCTCCTTACTGATTGGACAGTTCTAGTTCTGGCTCTTCTCTACAGAAAGCGAGAGTTCTCTATAGCATGCAGTGGCTGCTTTCTAAGGACAATGAATTGTAAGACTTTGCACACCATATGGTTTTGATGCACCTCGAATGTGTTTATCTGATTTAAAAGATAAGTTCCACTTAAAAAAAAAAAAAAATGCACATATTTTGCAGGTAAAAAAAAATGTGCATTTTATTTATTTATTTCGAAGGACCCTGCAGAGCATTGCACTGCGATCAGCAGATCGCTGCAATCTTATACAGGCCATAGACTGGTCGTTTATCGGCCAAATTTTCGTCCAAAGGAAAAATCAGCTGATATTCACACCGTTAGTGGGGCAACGGTGTTTTTCGCAGATCTTCTCATTTCTTTTTATCAGTCATGCTGGAAAATCCACGAAAAACGGCCGTTTTTTGTAAGCATTGGTGGCAGCATCCATGGCAGCAACGACCGATTTTTCGTTTATTGGCCGACAATTCGGCCGATAAAAGGCCCGTCTATGGCCAGTCTTAGGCTCCTGCACACTCTCAGCATACCCGTCTGCCCATATCTTGTGGGGCAAGCAGTATCAATGGACTACCAGAGCACTTACCAGTGTCCTGGCAGTTCATTGAGAACTCCAATCAGCTGCAACAACTGACAGTACTTGTAGGCATTCATTCACAGGAAACTGTGAATGAATGAATGACATGGACAAGTGGGTGGAGTCCAGCACGGCCCCATTATTTTCAAATTGTGACAGTGGGTGCGGGGAGAGGATTCCTCGCCCGCTGTCAAAAGGAGGGGGGATTGGTGGGGGAGTCTGCAGAATCTGGAACATGATACGTATTACATCCTAAAAGCAGGTGGAACATGTAACATATTGAACATATCCTTTAAACTGAAAGTTTATTTGGGTTTTGCCCCCTTGCAGCCAGCCCTTTAAGGAGTTGTTAACATTGGAAGTCAGAGGTTGGCGCTCATGTGATCACTATGACTGGCTTTCACATTGGTCACATGTTCAATTTTATTTACATTTATAAACAAGTGTTTTATGCCATTTCTGTGTAAAATCTTTCTCTTACAAATAATTTCATAGTTGGTGCTTCTGTGATAGAATGTTAGAAGGGCACGGTCCACAGTTGAATGTGGGGAGGTAGAAGGAATTATTCTTGCACAGGGGGCCCTTAGTGACTCTGTCTGGCAATGATTGTATTCATGTACAGTATTTTCAATTTTACTAAAATGAAATGTTGGAAAATTTTAATTATTCATTAGTTATCCTTGCAGACAATAAAGACATTTTTATAAAAAAACTGCAATTAATTTCCTTCAAAGGGGATACAAACAAAATGAACACTTAAAGGGTGTAGCTCAATATATAAATCACAGGTGTATAAGTTCTTACTATGTGTATTCTAGACTTTTGAAGTGTGTATATACAGTATACTGGACTGATAGATTGCATGATCATGGAAGTAATTTGGGCAGTAAAAGGTGAAAAGGATCTTCTCCAGAAGTTGGTTCGGGCAACAGAATTACTCTTCAGCATCCGTGAACTTCTAGACCAGGGGTCCTCAAACTACGGCCTGCAGGCCGAATACGGCCCCCAAAGCATTTTATGCGGCCTGCCGGGGGAAAAAAAAAAAGCGGACTGGCAAATAGCTAGGCAGCCTGAAAGTCCCTGATTTCACCTGCTGCAGCCTGAGAAGCAAAAGGAGAGGATTACACAAGGCACCAGGTACAATGCATTGCGGTGTCCAGTACGTTACAGTGTACAGTGCATTTGGTGTCCAGTACGTTACAAAGTACAGTGCATTGCGGTGTCCAGTGCAGTACAGTGTACAGTGCATTGCAGTGTACAGTGCGTTCGTGTACTTTGCGTTGCAGTGTACAATGCATTGCGGTGTCCAGTGCGTTACAAAGTACACTGCATGGTGGTGTCCAGTACGTTACAGTGTACAATGCATTTTGTATCCAGTGCGTTACAGCGTACAGTGCTTTGTGGTGTCCAGTGCGTTACAGTGCATGATGGTGTCCAGTACGTTACAGTGTACAATGCATTTTGTATCCAGTGCGTTACAGCGCACAGTGCTTTGCGGTGTCCAGTGTGTTACAGAGTGCAGTGCATTGCGGTGTCCAGTACGTTACACAGTACAGTGCATTTGGTATCCAGTACGTTAGTGTACAGTGCATCGTGGTGTCCAGTGCGTTACAGTGTACAGTGCATTGCGGTGTCCAGTGCGTTAGTGTACAGTGCATTACAGAGTACAGTGCATTGCGGTGTCTAGTGTGTTACACAGTACAGTGCATTTGGTATCCAGTACGTTAGTGTACAGTACATTGCGGAGTCCAGTGCGTTACAGAGTACAATGCATTTTAAATATTGTATTGTTTTTTTGCACTACAAGTAAGATATGTGTGGAATTTGTTCATATGTTTTTAAAACTATAGTCCAGCACCCCAACAGTGTGAAGGTCCATGAACCAGCCCCTGTTTAAAAAATTTGAAGACCCCTGTTCTAGACTTTCACACCTCTAGACTTTCACATCACATGTTTGCCACTTTCCTTCTTGCACATTAGTTGATCTGAGACACTTGCTGACCTACGGCTGTCACTCTCTGGAGAGCTGCTTAAAAGAAAAAAAACTATTTTTTTTATACCAGCTCTAAGATTAAACTGGAACAGTTGCTTAAACAATCCAGTGCCCATACTGTAGCTTCCTAATTTATGCATGCTGAGTAGGCAATATGTGGAGTTTGTAGTGTGTGTGTGTGTGTGTATATATATATATATATATATATATATATATATATATATATATATATATATATATATATATATATATATATATATATATATATATATATATATATAAAAACAAATTGGTATTAGTCCAGTTAAATAAATAGGGAGAAGCATCCCTGAAGAGGTAAGTGTTTCTTGATTTCTCTCCCTACAGATGTTTAAGCAGATGTTGTCTGAGAAACAGGCCAAGTGGGAGAACTATAAGAAGGAAGGTTCAGAACGTATGACGGAACTGGCTGATGTATTTTCCGGGGTGAAGCCTCTTACCAGAGTGGAGAAGAATGGTAAGACACTGTTGCCGCTCTTGCAACATCACATGACCCTAATGGTTTGGGAGGTGATAGAAGACATTCCTGCATGTTATGGGACAATTGTATTGTCCTATCCACAGTACTTTTTTCCCCACTTCGGACAGGTGGTATTATCTAAACCAATGTTTCTCTGTCCAGATTAGGCCCCGTTTATACATCTGCACAATCTCAAGGCACCCTATTCTAAAATGAAACAAATGAAACTAATAATACATATTGCAGTAGCATCCAAACAGGTAGAACACCCAACATTGGAGGTGATTTATTCTTACAAAGCAAATACACCTTTGCACTACTGACAAGTATTCCAGCATATTTTCTCAAGTGTTTCTCTCCCTTACACAGCTAACGTGGACGCAATACTGACGAAGAGGGGTGGGGGGGAAATCAAACAAGGATGCTGTACAAGGGCCCAACATCCTCATTATCAACCAATTACATCAGTGGCTTTTGGGACACTGGCAGTATTTTTTCCAAGGCACCCTTGAAGAAAGTAGAAGCCACCCTGATTGAAAATGGCTGATCTAAACTATTGCCATGCTTTTCATAACCGATAGAGGGGGAAGAGAATGAAAAAAAAAAAAACACTTTTTAGATTATGATACATGTTACACCCGTATTTAGGGTAATATGCTCCTACGCGCCCCCTCCTGTAACAGCATGCAGGAGGTTCTTCTCTTCTCAGCCTCTGTCACATTTAAAATTTCCCACTGTAGCAGCCGAGCTTGTAGTTTCAGTGGAGTACAAGTGTGGTAATCAGTGTACTCATAGTCCATTGACAATTCTTCCAGCTTTCTAGAAAAACTGTGCAGAGGAAGAAGAGTGTGCAGGAGCCTGCCATTGCACCCACGATCCACTGATCATGGGTGCAATGCTTTGCAAGCTCTCGTGGGCAAAATTAAACAAATGCATACACTGGCTGTCAAATGCCAGCTGCATTGTGCCACAAAGAAGTATACGCCTCACCTTCTATCAATATTATATAAAATGTTGAACATGCCAGAGGAGACTTTTGTCCCTTCCTACGTGCGCAAATGGGAGGCTGACCTGCCGATGTCCTTTTTGGAAGAACAAGTGAACCAGATCATTCAATTAGCTCATTAATCCTTGATAGCTAATCGTTTCCAAGAGCAGGGATACAAACTTCTGTCCCGGTGCTACTAAACAAATTTTACCCCTCAGTCTCCAGTTTGTGTTGGCATTGTCAGAGGGAAGAGGGCACTTTACAGCATATATGCTGGCAATGTCCTTTGCTGAATCAGTTCTGGAAGGCCGTGAGGAATTTGGGAACAGACCCATTGGCCTACCTCCATCTCTACTCTGTACCATTACGTCGCTATAGACGCTCCCTGACAGTTCATCTTCTGAATGTGGCACGGGCATGCATTCCAGATCTGTGGAAGCAAATCTCCACCCCCAACTATGGGTCACTGGTTTGTGAAGTTGAATGAAATGAATTCAATGGAAATCCTAACTGCCTCCCTTAACAATAAGGAAGATTTTTTCGGGAGACGTGGCGGCCTTGGATGATGTTAACTTTCTTGGCGCAATATATGAATGTGGCGCCCTCTTCCCTCGAGCATGATTGAGTCCTCCTCGACATTACTTTCTGTAGGTTAGACATTGAACCCTAAGACTGGTCTTTGGGGGAGGAGTAAAAGGAGCGCAGGGCCCTGTGCTACTCTGCCCCTTCACCCCCCAGATCTGCCTCCAGTACTCTTGTTGTGTCCCCACTCCGTCCTCTCTGTCTCGTCTCTCCTCCCCCCCTTTTTTTTTCCTTTTTCCTCCCCTTCCCAGAAAGTTAAGAAGGTAACAGTTTTTTCCACCTACTTTTTACATTTTTTCTTCCTTGGTCCCATACTGGACCGATTCTCTGTTTTCAAATATAAAAGTTTGTTAGACTTTGAGTATTACAGGCTCATCGCCCTACATTTCCTGTATGAGTGGCCTTAGAGTAGTTATATGTAACAGACAACTTGTATCTAGCCTAATATTCCTGATTACTGGAACACTGTGATATGTTGTGCCATATAGTGCGCGTATATGTTTCTGGAAATGTATATGGATTTTCCTTATTGTTTACTGTGTGAGGGTACTCCCTTGTATATGCTCAATGTCCAACTAAATAAAGAATTAAAAAAAAAAAAAATGCAAGCTGCATTTTCCTGTCAACACTAGCCCTTTGGGAAGCTGGTAGGATTTCAGACAATAGGTTTTTTTTTTATTAAAACGGTTCTCTGTAGTTATTGTGGTATGAAGACCAGGGGAATATTTACTGCTTAGCTTTGATTATTAAAAACTTTTAGAAGTTGTAAAGTGCAGAATGCAATGATTCCAGCAGATGGATATGGCTCATGTGCAGGACAAGGTGGTCATCATAGAAGATGCCCTTCCTTTCCACTGTCAATCATTGCAATCATTGAACCATTGCATGGACTATTGTTTGTTGCATTCAACTGGGTCAAGTGGTCCTGGTGGAATCCCAAGAAGTTATACGGGTGATGTCACTGGTTGTTCAGCTGGGCAGATGGGGTGGCAGATGGAGGGTGTGGCATGAAACAGAGATATTGTGAACAGCTATGTTTTTTGGCAGACTATACTGAAGGACCCACTGAAATAAGGTGAAAACAACTTTGGCCAGATTGCCAAGAAAAAAGCATCAGTGTCCTCGGAACAAAAATTTAAAGATGAATTCCAGGAATTCAGCCACTTTGTAAAAAGTGCAAGTACACTATGAGTCAAGTCCAACAAGGTGCATGACATCTCCTGAACGTATCTTTATTTGTTTTATATTTGACAGGTTTATGGCTCTACCGGTGCATACTCTGACACTCCGGGCTGTGAGAGAGGAAAAAGAGGCGCACAGAGCAGCTATGCCCGCCCCCCACCTCTGATGCCCATTCAGTGAAGCCTTTGTATTTTGTGAATGATTTCATAAAATACAAAGGCCACTGTGATTGGGCAAGAGAAGGGGATGAGCGGGCAGAGCAGCTGCACCAACTCTAATGTTGAAGATGCTTGGACCTGAAGCATCAGCATTGGGCTCTCTCTTCTGGGAATGTAATAAAACTGTCAGATGTAAATAAAAGAGATAAGCCCAGGAGATATCATGCAGCTCCTTGTACTTAACTCATTGTGTGCCTTCCCTTTCCACAAAGTAGCTCAATTCCTGAAATTCAGCTTTAAGTTCTGAAAAGGATGATCAAACTGTTTCTCAAACACTGACCTTCTGTCCTTCTGTAGAGAACCTGCAGGCCTGGTTTCGCGAGATCTCCAAACAAATCCAGTCCCTGGGCTATGATGATTCTACAGCAGCAGGACGGAAGACTGTGCAGCTCATACAGGCTTTGGAAGAGGTTTGAGTTCCAGCTATTCCTTTTTGCAGATGCTCTGAAGGAGTGGGTGGTTTTTGCAGCCAGTACTTTTGCTGCCCAGGATCATCTATTCACCTTCATTAGTTGCTGCCCTTCAAGCAGGCCTGAAATCCATTAATGCCATGTAGCATAGCTGCTGTACACTAGGTGTGCAGATAAGTCGTTTTCTCCTACTTTCACAGTGCTTTTTTTTTTTTTTTGCTTTTTTTTGTTTTTGGTTCAGCTAAGTTACCTTCAATGCTGCATATACATCCAGATGACAGTTGAGGATGCTAAAAATCGAAGTTGTATTCATGCAAGATACTGATGTCAGTTTTGATCTTCCAGCTCTAAGACTTTAATTCAGTGCTTGTACAGTGCAGGATAGTGTTGTTTACTTCCCCCCCTACTTTCTCTCTCAATCCATTCATAAAATGTAATGTTTTTTATTCACAGAATACAACGTGTTCTGTGATTGAACAGGGGGAGGGAAGGAGCGGGTGAATGTCAGGACCTCCCCCTTGTCCAATCACAGAACACCTAGGAGTGATACAGTTGTATAGCCAATCAGTAGGTCTATCTAAACATAGACTGTGCCCCAATACACACATGACCCCCTCTGTTCCAGAACTGGTAGCTTGATTAAACCTAGAGCTAAGGCTACATTTGCATGGGTGCTTTGGCCCGGTACAAATGGTAGCAGCAGGAATCTGCTGATTCCTGCTGCTGTTTTTGTCACCTGTGAGTGGCTAGCTGCGTTCGCCCAGTTCGTAAATTTTAATGTCTGGTTCCTGGTAGCCACAGCTATTTGTGGCTGTTTGTACAACCAGCGGTTATCGCTACTGGATTTCAACCTGTTATTAACCTCCCTGGAGGTATTCCCGAGTGTAGGTCGGGGTAAAGTTTCAGTACCACAAGCGGTAACGCCGAGCTACACTTGGGCTTACCATGCGGCGCTGCTCCGGGATCCCACGGTCACTTACCTTGTCCTGCGCTCCCGCGATGTCCCTCCTGCAGTGTCCCCGGCAATGTCCTCGGCGGATGCCGGCATCTGTCATTTAGGTTCCATCCCCTGTGAGCGTCAGGACGTACAGGGGACGGAAGGCGGGAAATTTGAAAATGACAAAAAGTGACGTTCACTAAAATCACATAGTAGAACATTACTGTATCAAACCATTTCACATACATTTTGTCCCGAGTGCTTTGTCCTGTGCCCTGCCTGCATTTTTACTGTTCTTTCTGCCTGGAAACTGAGGAATGTCCATGGCGTCCAAAAAGCATCCCTTTTTAGGTCAAAAGCGGATTTAGACCAGCTAGAGAACAGCGATAGTAAATTAGAGCCACTTGCAGAATTGAGTGATAATGATTCGTGGAAAAATTCGTCATCAGACACTGAAAACGATTTTGCGACTTTGCTCAGTGATGTGTGAACTTGGCGCTATATTTCAAATTTCAGTGTGTTTTTGGTTTGATTATATTATTGAATTAAATTTATTATTATATTATTATTTTTTATGATTATTTATTAAATTATAATTTATGATTTCGTGTTTCAAATTGTAACATACCCGGGATGTTTACTAGACTCTTGTTCGAACAGATTTAAGTGAGTTATTCCTAAAAATTACAGGCCTACAAGAAAAAAAAAAATACATATTTCCATGCAAAAAAATGTCCTGCTTTGAGCACAGAAATATGGACATAATCAGACCGGTAGGGAGGTTAAAGTGTACGGACTCAGCAGCCGTAACTAGCTGCTCACGGGTGTCCAAAAACAGCAGCAGATTCCTGCCGTTACCATTTGCTCCGTGCTAAAACTCCCATGCAAATAAAGCCTAACAAGTAAATATTGAGCAGGAGGTTTTGTTAAATTGATTTGTTAAGTAGCAGGTCTGGCTAAAATACGATCGATTTTCAAAAGCCTTTGCAGATGCTTCAATGCGGCAAGCGTACATGGCTTGCCAGCAACACTTTACCAACACACACTAGTGTGAATTTTAAGGCCTGATGGCCAAAAAGCATTGGCTGTTTTACAGCTGTTATACATGTTTTAGCAATAAATGATAACCATTGTTGGATGCCATTCTGATTGCCAGCCTCTCCTCTTGTGATTTCTGCTACCTGAGGCTTTGGCAGCCTATGAGTCTGAGCAGCAGGCGGAGTTGGGATGTGAGATGGTGGAAGCGCTAACACACCTGTGGGGCAGCACAGTGGCTTAATGGTTAGCAATTCTGCCTGGCAGTACTAGGGTCACTGGTTCGAAAACCCAACCACAGCACCACCTGCCTGGAGTTTGCATGTTCTCCCTGTGCCTCCGGGTACTCCGGTTTCCTTCCACACTCCAAAGACATGCTGGTAGCTTAATTGCCTCCTGTCTAAATTGTCCCTAGTATGTGTATGTATGAATGTGAGTTAGGGACCTTAGATTGTACGCCCCTTGAGGGTTAGGGACTGATGTGAGTGTACTATATATGTACAGTATGCAAAGCGCTGCGTCAATTGACGTCGCTATATAAGTACCTGAAATGAATAAAATAATACATAAATATTCACACAGTGTGAATTCTTTGCTCCCTTACCTAAATTTTTATTGTAGCTATTAATTGTTTTATCATCTTAAAAATTAACACCAAGCAAAAGTACAGCATGTATGTGTAAACGTTTCATTAACATTTAGTCCTCCTGCATAAATGAAGTCCATTACCAAAAAAAAAACTATTAATTGAGGGAAGAAGAGTGGTGGTGCTCCTTGCACATTGCCTGCAGTGGCTATTTTTTGTTCTGATACGAGACCTTTTTGGTATTATTATTATACAGGATTTATATAGCACCAACAGTTTTCTCAGCACTGTACATTATAATGGGAGACCGTACACGAGACAGTACAGTAACAATACAGTGCAATACACGAGGGGTTCGAGGGCCCTGCTCCTTGGAGCTTACAATCTAGGAGGGAGGGGATGGTGGTACAGGAGGAAATAGCTGTGGGGGATGGAGTGGTAGGAAGAGTGGAGGAGATCGGCAATTAGCTGAGGGTGGGGTAGGCTTCCCTGAAGAGATGGGTTTTCAGGGTGTGCCTAAAGGTGAGGAGATTAGGTGATAATCTGATGGGTTGGGGTAGGGAGTTCCAGAGGATGGGGAAAGCCCTGGAGACGGGCATGGGAGCTAGAGAGTAGGAGGTTTGTGAGGAGCGGAGAGTACGTTTTGGGTGGTATTTGGATATCAGGTCGGTGATGTAGTTTAGGGCAGTATTATGAATAGCTTTGTATGTCAATGTTAGCATTTTGAATTTTATCGGTTGGGCAATCGGAAGCCAGTGGAGGGATTGGCAGAGGGGGGTGGTGGATACGGAGCGGTTGGTAAGGTGGCTGAGTCTGGCCGCAGTATTCAGGATAGACTGAAGCGGGGATAGCCTGCGGTGAGGTAAGCCGGTGAGGAGGGAGTTGCAGTAGTCAAGTTGTGATATAATAAGAGAGTGAATGAGTTGCTTAGTGGTTTCCGGGGTTAGGAACGAACGTATTTTGGAGATGTTGCAGAGGTGGAGTCTACATGAGTTTGTCAGCGATTGGACCTGGGGCTGGAAAGACAGATTGGAGTCTAGGATGACACGTAGTACTCTGGCTTGCGGGGTGGGGCTGATGGTGGCGTTGTTGGTCGTGGACTTCATTTATGCAGCAGGCCTAAATGTTAATGAAACTTTACACATACAGGCTGTACTTTTGCATGGTGTTCATTTTTAGGATGATAAAACAGTTAATTATATGCATAAATGAAGTCCATTACCAAAATTGTCTTGTATCAGACCAAAAAATAGCCACTGCAGGCAATGTACAAGGAGCACCACCACTCTTCTTCCTTCAATTACTGGATTTTTCAAAATTTGTTGTGAAACCTTTATGCTGCTGCAGATCACAATACGAGAAAGAGAAGCTGCAAATAACACCAAATTGGATATTATATAAGGTTAGTGGTAACATTCTTACATTGTTTTTCTTATTATCTCTTTCTGTAGGTTCAGGAGTTTCACCAGCTGGAGAGTAACCTTCAGGTTTGCCAGTTCCTGGCTGACACCAGAAAATTTCTGCATCAGATGATTCGCACCATTAATATCAAAGAGGAGGTGCTCATAACCATGCAGATTGTGGGTGACCTGTCCTATGCCTGGCAGCTGATTGACAGGTGAATGCTCTTTCTCCCCTCCTGTACTGAAGTTGTTCACTCTGATTCTCTGCTCACAGTGTGCATTAGAAGCTGCAGCCTCGTTTCCTGAATGGAGGTTGCCCATCTAGCTCTTTAACTCCCAAGCTTTACTGTCCCTGTCCCACCTCTTTCATTCATTGGATTTCACTTCTTTCAATCATAGAAGCTCAGCATCATGTGTGAGTGTTGCCTAGAGTGGTCTACATGCATATGCAGCCTGCCTATGCATGCTCACTCCTCCAGATTCTGATGTTTTCAGGAACCTATGTACAGCACAATAACTGCCCCTCCCACCAGCCATGATCTGCTTGCATTGTATAGAGCATTGCAAAGACCCAGTGATGACATCACAAGGTCTAAAATAAGGTATATAATGAAGACAGGTTTTATTTAAATCGTTTTATATTTATTTATTTATTTCAGGTACTTATATAGCACCATCAATTTACGCAGTGCTTTTACATATATATTGTACATTCACATTCACATCAGGGGGTGTACAATCTAAGGTCCCTAACTCACATTCATACATACACATACTAGGGCCAATTTAGACAGGATCCAAATAACCTAACAGCATGTCTTTGGAGTGTGGGAGGAAACCGGAGTACCCGGAGGAAACCGACGCAGACACAGGGAGAACATGCAAACTCCAGGCAGGTGGTGCTGTGGTTGGGATTTGAAACAATGACCCTAGTACTGCCAGGCGGGAGTGCTAACCATTTAGCCACTGTGCTGCCCATGCATGTTAATGAGGGGGAAGAGGAGCCAGGGATGGTAAAATATAAGTAGATTAAACTTCAGCTTTAAAGGATCACCTTTCATAACATGTTACATCCATATTCAGGGTGTAACATGTTAGGAAAGGACTGGCCCCTGCTTCCCACAATTTAAAAAAAGTGTGGTTATGCGGGCCTCCACCTACTTGGCCGTGTCACTCATTCACAGTATTCTGTGAATGGGAACACTACAAGTTCCAACAGCCTTTGTGGCTGTCGTCTTGTAGTTCTCAATGAACTACCAAGATGCTGTTGAGCTCTGTGGTAGTACATTGATTCTTCCTGTCAGTGTGTATCTGCTTACCCGTATGAGGACACAGGAACACTGACAGGTCTGCAGGAGTCCTGCATGGTTGGTGCAATGCTTTCCAGGCTCCCAAAACAAAAAATAATAAATGCACTTTTTTTTTTTAATCTGCAAAAAAATATGCATTTATTATTTGTTGTGAAAAAGTCAACTTATCCTTAAACATATGAACATGGGTATCTGACACATTAGTGACTCACTAACCTGGAAAATGTATGCATGCTGACAAACAATTTAACAATGCAACCTCCCTGTATTATATTCTGACCGGTTCCCTATAGGGTGACTAGCTCAAGCAGGAAATATTAGGCTAAATGTTTTTTTCCAGCACATATATATTTATGTTGTTTTGTTTTTTTTTTTTTTGTTTTTTTTTTTTGTTTTTTTTGTTTTGTTTTTTTCTTTAGCTTCACATCTATTATGCAGGAAAGTATAAGAGCCAATCCATCCATGGTGACCAAACTGAGAGCCACTTTCCTAAAGGCGAGTAACCTTCCATCTAATATCTATATTATGGTGTCTTTATTCAATGCATAGCTCCAGCCAAAACATTTGTTTTCATTAAGATAATGTGGAGAATGGATGGAATTTCTGTCATGTTTTCTTGATGTGTGTCCCATCTGGGAAGAGCCCCCAATTAGTCTTTATCCTTCTCGTCTTTCCCCCTTCCCGCGCCCCCCCCCCCATCCTTTCCATCACTACCAACAACACCACCATCAATCCCGCCCAGCAAGCCAAGGTCCTTGGCGTCATTCTGGACTCAAACCTTTTCCTTTCAACCTCATGTCAAATGACTTACAAACACATGCAGGCTCCACCTCCGGAACATCGCCAAGATACGCTCCTTCCTTACCCCAGACACCACTAAACTACTCGTACACTCCCTGATTATCTCACGCCTTGACTACTGCAACTCCCTCCTCACCGGCCTACCCCAGTGCAGGCTCTCCCCGCTTCAGACCATCCTGAACTCAGCGGCTAGACTCATCCACCTCACCAACCGCTCCACCTCTGCCACCCCCCTCTGCCTCTCCCTCCACTGGCTCCCCATTGCCCAACGCATTAAAGTCAAACTGCTCACTCTGACCTATAAGGCCATTCACAACACTGCCCCTAACTACCTCACCGACCTGATTCCCAGGTACCACCCTACCCGTACCCTTCGCTCTTCACAGGACCTCCTTCTATCTTGCTCCCTGGTCCCCTCCTCCCACGCACGACTGCAAGACGTCTCCAGGTCCTCCCCCATCCTCTGGAACTCACTACTCCAATCCATCAGACTGTCACCTTCCCTCCTCACCTTCAGGCGCTCCCTGAAAACCCACCTCTTCAGGGAAGCCTACCCCACCCTCACCTAACAGCCGCTGCCCTTCCCTCCTCCTACCCACTCCATCCCCCACAGCCATTTTTTCCTGTACCTCTACCCCCTCCCTCCTAGATTGTAAGCTCGAAAGAGTAGGGCCCTCTTACCCCTTGTGTGCTGTTTGTTGTTACTGTACTGTTTCATGTATTGTCCCCCCCTCTATTGTACAGCGCTGAGCAAACCCTTTGGCGCTGTATAAACTCGATGAAATAAATAAATCCTAGTGACAGGAAGTCGGAGGGAGAGAAAAGTGACCAGAAAGGGCAACAAAACCACTTGTATGTAGCAAAGCTAGGAAGGCTTAGAAATCAAGTCTGCTGTGGCAGTGACACCCATGCACCTAATTTTTCTTGGTGTTGCTGAGAAAGGAAATGAGGGTTAATCTACCTAGTGTGAAAAAAATTGTACTTATTCCCCCACTCTGTCTAAAACAAAAAAAAATATTGTGGCCGGTGTTGGACTTGAAAAGTGCATGTATACTGGCAAAGGTCTAAAAACATCAGTTTGTTCAAACAGCAGACAACACAAGGTACCCAACAATACCGGTATTTGGAAATAGATTTGTTCCCAGCAACCTCCAGGACTCAGCAGAAGGCTCCAAAAAAACTTTTCCACTTTTCCCATAGCTCTTGCCCCCCTTCCTTAGCTATCTGACAACCAAATACAGCACTGCTGTCCTAGCTGCATAGGCTCTGAGATACAGCGACTGTGGCAGACCCATAAGTTAGAGCAAAGTTCTCCAAAGAGAAAAGATTCTAAAGAATTCCCCAATGCGCTCAGAAGGATCAGGTGACTACCTGGCACACTGAGGAGGTTTTAATTACAAGTATTATGGTACATTGGGTTACATTTTTCTGACACAAATACATCTGTCTGAATTCATATATGTCAAAAGTCTTGTCAAAACGTTTTTGATTTTTTGAGTTTTGCATAGAGTAGGGAAGAACCTGTGAGGGAGAATGATGGGAATTTTTTTAAAGGCTAAGTTAAGCTTTAAAAATTAATAAATTCATTTTCTTTTACAGGTTAAAAAAAATGTGCATTTTATTCTTTTTTTAAACCGTAGCCTGCAAAGTATTGCACCTGCAATCAGCAGATCGCAGATGCAATTTCGGGCTTCTGCAAACTCTCTATCCAGCTTTCAGCCTGTACCTGTAAGCTGAATGGGAGAGAGTGTGAATGGACTACGAGCTCGTTGATCAGGACGCTCACGACTCATTCAAGCTACAAGTCCGTCTGCCGCAGTAGTAGACGGAACTTGTAGTTCTCTCATTCACAGATCCCTGTGAATGAGGGAGGCGGCTATGTAGGCAGAGCCATTTTCATTTTGCTGGTGTCGGCTGCCACAGAGGGACCATGTGTGAGACCTTGGGCACCCCGCAAGAGATGCAGGGCAGGTATTCACACTAGCGTGCCTCTGTCAGGCCAGGTACCGGAGCCCAGTGCCAGAACTTGTTCTGGCACTGGGCTTTGGCATTTCTGCACAGGTTCATCGGTACTATGTACTGCTGTCCTCCCCGATGGCTGCCCTGCTGCTCAGGTGCCTCCATAGCAAGCTGCCTGCTGTGGGGGCACTCAGCAGAAGGGAGGGTCCAGGAGCACTGGTGGGGGACCTAAGAAGAGGAGGACTGGGGCTGGTCTGTGCAAAACTATAACACAGAGAAGGTAAGTATAACTGGTTTGTTTAAAAAAAAAAAAAAAAAAAGTTGTCATTAATATCACTTTAATTCTGACAAATGTTCTAAACCCTTCCCCATTCTATAGAAAACTAGACGAAACAAAACGTTTTGGCTGGGCCTCCAGGACTGCAAGAAGGCAAATTGCTTCGCATTATTATCTTTTAAAATAATAATTCTCTCTCTCCTACAGCTGGCCTCTGCCCTTGACTTGCCTCTACTTCGTATCAACCAAGCAAACAGCCCTGACCTCCTCAGTGTTTCCCAATATTATTCTGGGGGAGCTGGTGTCCTATGTCAGGAAGGTGAGTTACACGTGTCTTGCCCACATCTAATTGAGAATTTCACATGGAAATTTAAAAAAAGAAGCAATAATGCATATTTACAAAGATTTCGGTCCATGCCAGAAAACATTGTTTTCTTTGAAAGGTTCCACAATCTAAAGTCTGCAGCTTTGTGACTTATATCACCTCCTGACAATACCCGTATTTGGAAATGGAACTTCTTGCTGCCACATTTCTTTGTGCCCTCAGTGCCTCTGAATGTTGTGAGGATCTCACACACATCAATGTGTGGCAGGAGAGCAAAGCAATTGATGAAACAAACAATTCTTCTAACATCAGGTCACCAGCAGAACAGGAATTCTTTAGAATATAGTCTGTTTTATCAGTCCCAAAGTTTTCAAATCACCAACTGAGACCCGCAGGATGGAGGGTGCCAAGCAAGATTGTCTAAACCAGCCTTTTTCAACCTTTTGAATATGGGGTAACCCTTTAAATTACTTTGTGCTTTCAGGGAACCCCTGCTAATAATTACAGTATCTACAGCTCACAGTACATAAGTGCGATGGTTACTAGCAAGAATGCTCCTTACATTTGTATCATTAGGAAGAATCCCCACTTTCAGACATCTATAAAAATTAGTGTTGTCCGTGGTTACTTATCTGAAAGGTAAAAGATGCTCGTTGCTCAAGGAACCCCTAGAAACCTGTGGGGGAACCCTAGGCTTCCATGGAACCTGGCTGAGAAACGTTGATATACTGTAAGCTGGAAATATAACACAGGCAATCATTTTAAACTGCTGCAAGTGTCAAACGTGGATACCTAGCAATGACATCCCATACCTGCGCAACCTCCCAAACTCTCATCATTTTTGGCGATCTAAATAGAACTTGTCTGTATACTTTTTTGAACTTCCTGACAGTTCCACAAACTTGCTGTCAGACCAAATATCGTTGGATACTGAAGTGCCCAGATATTTGCCTAGGATTAACCATCTTTTTAATTTCTACAAAAGGTTCTCCAGATCATTCCAGAAAGCATGTTTACATCTCTGGCTAAAATCATCAAGCTGCAGACACACGATATTATGGAAGTTCCAACACGCCTGGATAAGGACAAGCTAAGAGATTATGCCCAGCTTGGAGCCAGATATGAGGTGAGAGCCGGGTGCTGCAACAAGATATCTCATCACATGGTCCTTGCACCAGCTTATTCAAACAAGCCTTAACCGCTTTCCCGCCACCCTAAAGTAGAACTACTGCTACAGGGCGGCAGGGCTGCACAAAATCGTGTATATATACGTGATTTGCATTTCCAGGTAGAAGGTGTGCGCACCGCCATACCCGCACCACCATTGGCGGCAAGGGATGTCAATCACCGGGTCCCTGCCGGAGATTCCCTGCTGCCACCCGGCAATCGCCATGTAGAACTGACGGGAGAGACCTGTGTGTAAACAACACAGGCCTCTCTCCTGCCAGCAAGGACATGCTGCTGTGTATTTCTCTGCAAAGCAGAGAAATCCACAGCAGCATGTCTCCCTAGTAAAACACACAGCACATCATGTAAAACAGCACACTGTTAACCCTTTGATCGCCCCAGATGTCAAAATGCCCACCACAGACTCCACTATAAGTCACTGATTTCCCCCATTACTAGTATAAGAAAAAACAAATAAAAATTCCAGTGTATATACATTTGTAGAAGCTATAACTTTTATGTAAACCAGTTAATTTATATGTATTACATTTTACATGGGATTTTATTTTTAGCAAAGACATGTACAGTAACAGAATACATTTTGGTCTAAATTTATGAAGAAATTAGATTTTTTTATTTATTTATTTTTTTATTTTTTACTGGATATGTTTTATAGCAAAAAGTCGAAAATATTGTGGGGGGTTTTTTTTTTTTTAATTGTCTTTTTTGTTTATAGCGCAAAAAATAAAAATTGCAGACATGATCAAATACCACCTATCGAAAGCTCTATTTGTGGGGAAAAAAGGACATATACATTTAATTTATGTACAGTGTTGCATGATTGCGCAGTTGTCAGTTAAAGTAACACAATGCCGTATCGCAAGAAATGGCCTGGTCAGGGAAATCCAGGGGGGGGGGGTAAATCCTGTAGAGGGCAAGTGGAACTTTACCCATAACAGCTTGATAAAAAACATGTTCTTTAGCAAGAAACATACATTCCACATTAATAATTATGCTACCAAAATTAGTGTGTGCTGTAAATTGCCCCAGCACTGTTCCTCTTCCTTCTTGCCAAAGGCTGCCATTTTGCAGAAGCCCAGAGCCCCTGAACAGCAGTAAATCTTTAGGCTTTCCGCAGATCGGCCTCTACAGATCAGCACCGTGCCAAAAAATAGAGAGCAACCAAGCATGTGCCGAGTAGGGTGCGATATTGTTTTACTGGAATTTAAACAGTATATGCAAGTTTATTTACATAACTATACCTTCAAATAGGGCCAGCGTGATGTGATCTAGAAGGACTTAATTTTCTGAATAAAGTTTCACTTTAAGAAAAGTGCTGCAACTTACAGTGACCGATCAGAATTTATCCGTTACTGATCTTATGGTTTCTATGGGTTTATGCCTTTTGATAAATGATGCTGCTGCATTATAGCATTGCAAAGCTTTCTCAACCTTGAGGTTTCTTCAGGGGTGCCTTGGCAAAATGTCTAAAAATTGCCAAAACTTGTATACAAGCCAGTGGATGGAACAAGCCTGCCTTTTTAGTTACACAAAGCCACAGGTTTTCATTGTGCCCCATTACAACCTTCTATTTGCCGGTGTCCTGACAACCAATGACATCATCAGTTGATAAGGAGGATGTCAGCTGCCTGCACAGCATTCCAGTTTGCCCCTCCCCTGCCCCTCTCCATCAGTGCTGGGGTCACATTAGCTCCGTTATGGAGAAAAACTGAGGAAGAAGAGAAACATTGGCATACTAGTCGGTACCAGTGTGAAAATGTTTTTTTTTTTTTTGCTTTAGAAGAATAAATCACCTCCAATGTTGGGTGTCCTACATGTGTGGATGTTGCTGCGTTATATGAAACTATTAGAATAGTTTTTAATATTTTAGAATGGGGTGCCTCAAGACTGTCCATCATTTTAAAGGGTGCCTTGACTGAAAAAAGGTTGAGAAATACTGCTTTGATAAACGAGCTCAATTATTTATTTGTCAGTTTGAGTTGTACAGGTTAAACTCGAAAAAAAAAAATTAGAATATCGTGCAAAAGTTCATTTATTTCAGTAATGCAACTTAAAAGGTGAAGCTAATATATGAGATAGACTCATTACATGCAAAGCAAGATGGTTCAAGCCGTGATTTGTCATCATTGTGATGATTATGGCTTACAGCTCATGAAAACCCCAAATCCACAATCTCAGAAAATGAGAATATTACATGCAATCAATAAAACAAGGATTGTACATAGAACAATATCGGACCTCTGAAAAGTAGAAGCATGCATATGTACTCAGTACTTGGTTTGGGCCCCTTTTGCAGCAATTACTGCCTCATTGCGGCGTGGCATGGAAGCTATCAGCCTGTGGCACTGCTGAGGTGTTATGGAAGACCAGGATGCTTCAATAGCGGCCTTTAGCTCTTCTGCATTGTTCGGTCTCATGTCTCTCATCTTTCTCTTGGCAATGCCCAATAGATTCTCTATGGGGTTCAGGTCAGGCGAGTTTGCTGGCCAATCAAGCACAGTAATCCCACGGTCATTGAACCAGGTTTTGGTGCTTTTGGCAGTGTGGGCAGGTGCCAAGTCCTGCTGGAAAATGAAGTCAGCATGCCCATAAAGCTAGTCTGCGCAAGGAAGCATGAAGTGCTCCAAAATCTCCTGGTAGACGGCTGCGTTGACCCTGGACTTAATGAAGCACAGTGGACCAACACCAGCAGATGACATGGCTCCCCAAATCAACACAGACTGTGGAAACTTCACACTGGACTTCAAGCAACTTGAGTGTGTGCCTCTCCATTCTTCCTCCATACTCTGGGTCCTTGGGCCTCTCCATTCTTCCTCCATACTCTGGGTCCTTGGTTTCCAAATGAGATGCAAAAGTTGCTCTCATCAGAAAAGAGGACCACTGAGCGACAGACCAGATCTCTTTTTCTTTAGCCCAGGTAAGACGCTTCTGATGTTGTTTGTTGTTCAGGAGTGGCTTGACAAGAGGAATATGACATTTGAAGCCCATGTCCAGGATCCGTCTGTGTGTGGTGGCTCTTGATGCACTGACTCCAGCCTCAGTCCACTCCTTGTGAAAGTCCCCAACACTGTTGAATGGCCTTTTCCTGACAATCCTCTCCAGGCTGCGGTCATCCCTGCTGCTTGCGCACCTTTTTCTTCCACACTTTTCCCTTCCACATAACTTTCTATTAATGTGCTTTGATGCAGCACTTTGGGAACATCCAACTTCTTTTGCAATTACCTTTTGAGGCTTTCCCTCCTTATGGAGGGTGTCAATGATGGTTTTCTGCACAACTGTCAGGTCAGCAGTCTTTCCCATGATTGTGATTCCTACTGAACCAGACTGAGAGACCATTTAAAGGCTCAGGAACCCTTTGTAGGTGTTATGGCTTAATTAGCTGATTAGAGTGGGACACTTTGAGCCGAGAATATTGCACCTTTTCACAATATTCTCATTTTCTGAGATTGTGGATTTGGGGTTTTTATGAGCTATAAGCCATAATCATCACAATGATGACAAATCACGGCTTGAACTATCTTGCTTTGCATGTAATGAGTCTATCTCATATATTAGTTTCACCTTTTAAGTTTCATTACTCAATTAAATGAACTTTTGCACGATATTCTAATTTTTCAAGTTTCACCTGTACATTCCTCAGAACTGTTTTGGTTAGAAGTCTGCTCTTTCTGGTAATCGGCTACACCGTACTTCAATTCTTTGTTTACCTCTTAGGTGGCCAGGCTGACCCATGCTATATCCATATTTACCGAGGGCATTCTAATGATGAAGACTACTTTGGTTGGAATAATTAAGGTAATCTAGTTATGTCCAGTGATTAAGAATATTGAGCCTCAGCAGGGAACACTGCTGCATTGTTAAGAGACAGATCCCAGCTTTCCTTTAAAAAAAAAAAAAAAAAAAAACACCTTACAGTAGAAAAGTGATTTACTTTCACTTCCTGTTCCATAGCCATAACAGGAAGTGGGAGGAATACCCTTAAAATTATTGGGCCCTCAGGTCACCAGAACTAGTGTCCCCATTGGAAGATTGCCCTCTATTACTTTTCTGGGGACAACCTAAAAATTGGGATTTGTTTTTTTTGTTTTTTTTTACTTTTACTTTCCATGAGAATGCTAAAATACAGTGGGTGAATCTCCTTAAGGCACAGACAGCAATAAAAATGTAATAGGTGTTCTAATCCATCTCTACTCTGTACAAACGTTAAAGAAAAATATTGCCTTTAGCTATATTTTAATGTGAGCCGGTCACGAATAATAGGCATTTATGAGAATATATATTGTAAGGCTATACTATTATTACAGATCCCCACTCATGACTGCTTGTATTTTAAAGCCAGCTCCAGACTCTGGAAAGAGTAAAAGCATTAGAGTCTCTGTCACTTTTTTTTATTGCTATTTGGGTCCCTGTTGGGGAGATTTCCCCTCACTTCCTGTCAGGATATTAAGTGATTGAACATCTATCCAGCAGGCACACAGGCAAAACATTTTTTTTAGTAGATTTAAAACTTGAATTGTGAAATTGACATTTTTCATCTGAGCCTGATTTTCATAGCTGACCTGTTTTTTATCTCCAGGTGGATCCAAAGCAGCTATTAGAAGATGGCATACGGAAGGAGCTTGTTAAGAGGGTGGCGCTCGCTTTACATAAGGGACTCATCTTTAACTCAAGAGCAAAGGTATCATCCACATCCACACATAATCCTATATGAGTGTAACATGTATGTGTACCTCGAAATACAGCCTAGGTCATTTATTGCTGAAGAATCTGGGAATCCTTTTTTACATACAACACTAACACCTCTCAAACTTGCCTGTGCCTGTTGCTACTGTTCTTATTTT